AAAAAAAAGGTAGTGCATGAATTATTGTTATTATTTATGTAAGTTAATTTTACCCGAACAAATTTGTGCCTCGATTTCTGGAACAGCTGTTTGTGAAAACTGTGAGCGAACAGTGAAAACGACCAACAAAACTTGTGGAGCGTCTTCTCCTCCCACTTTAAAGTAATTTCAACATTTTTAAAAACAAGTTGTTTTACAGAAATACTGAACCCGGCCACGACCGAGTGAATACATATTTCTGCTGATGTTAACTGTTTCAGATAACATCTTAAAAATCATAACTGTGATCTCGTTGCAAATATTGTTTTTCATTGGTAAAATGTGAAGTTGATCACAAAATGTCTTTACAAAAGCTACTGCAGTAAAGTACAGTCAACTACCTATACTAACTATAACTGCACCACTGCTGGTTATTCCCCACAGACTGTTTTTAACATTATATATACTGAATACAATAACATTACTGTATTAAGTGATGTTATCAATGTACGAGAAACCTTTATGGATCAATCTGGGTTCTAAATAGCTGTAAATAATCTTTCAGTGAGTAAAGTGTTTTAATATTGGGGGGTGTTTCAGTTTGGGGGGGTACGTGCACCGTGGGTTCAGTATTTGCTCGTGTGATGTGATTCTTGGCCACTCGGCTTATTATGTCACCTGTAATAAATACAGATAAGTAGCGAAGGGAAAATCCGACCCTTTCTTTAGTTTGATCTCTCCTCACCTGACAGCCAGCATGACAAAAAGTAGCAACCACATCAGTAATGGTTAAGAAACTGTTGCTAATGGTTACCAATACTAACCACGATAATTAAGACACACATTACAAACACAGAAAAGTGTTTGTCCTTTTTTGTGCAGCCTTTATTCTTACGCTCAGTTACTAAATATCAACTCAAACCTGGAAGTCTTTTGGATGAGTTGCGTTCATTTGCTCTGGAAGCGCTCCAGAAACAGAATCATTAGTAAAACTCATTAACAGTTTTGTGTAATATCGTCACTCATCTTTGTGTTTATTGCACATTACTTGTTGCTATTGAACTGCAGACTTCAGCCCAGTATTTTCTCCAGTAACATATGACTCCGTTTGTTGTACAGCATGCTTTCAAAAAACAAAAAAACATCTTGTACCATCGGAGGTAAAGAAACTTCTGCTGTGAGACTTTTCACACGGAGCATTTGTCGTTGTGAAAAGAGCACAGCTGGAAACTGCTGGTGGAAAATTGTACGTTTATGTAACTTGACTTTAAAAAAAACATGCAAAACTAGAGAAATTTCAAATGGATGTTCATCAGTTTATCACTTTTACAGACTTGCTGACCAATCAGCTTCATTTATCTCACATCTCCACCTACAGCAGCCGCAAAGATAGATTTAAAGCCAGAACGTTATCGCTGTGAGGCAACAGGGCCTC